TCCCTACTTGTGGCCTGGGAAAGCAGTTGAGGACGGCCCAAAGCCTTGGGACCCTGTACCCACGTGGGAGACCCAGAAAGAAGCTCCTTGCTCCTGGTTCCTGGCTTAGGATCAGCTCAGGATCAGCCACTGCGGTCACTTGGGGAGTGAATCATTGGACGGAAGATCTTCCTGTCTCTCCTCCGTGAATCACTGTATATCTGCCTTTCCAATAAAAATAAATAAATTTTTTTTAAAAAAAAAGAAAGAAAACAGAGCTCTCTGAACTTATAAAGAATTCAGAATTGCTTGGATTTGAGTATCGTCAACCTCTTACTCAAATATTTTAGCCAGGCACGTGCGGGAAGGCAGAAGAGGATCATGATCAGAAAAGCTGTAGCGAGGGCCCAGGTAACGCTCAGTTCCTATATGGGCAGTTGTCACGATGTCAAAGTAATTGGATCCCTCCTAAGGCCTTGGCAATGAACCTGACACACTCCTGGGAAAATGGTGCATCACTGTACTATCCAACGCACACTGCCATGGCATCTGTCCTTTATAAGCTTGGATGGAAAACCTAAGATCCTAACTGGGCAATTAAGACAAAATTCATTATGGATCAATTGATTAGGCAACAAAGATGATCTGCTTTTCTTTGTTGTTACCAAAACATATTACACTTTTAAAGGTAATATGCTTAAGGTAGGATGCCCTGAGTTCTAACTCCTTGGGGGTCCTAGGAAAGGAGCCCACTACCCAGACCTGGACACTATAGGCCTCCATAGTTAGGCTTCCCAAACCTCCTTAGAGATAGGCACCCTGCAGACAGACCCGCAGGGATCCAGGTGAGAGGGCTCATAGAGGATCCTGCTATTTGAAGAATTGGACAGCACTTCTGCACAGGTTCACTTCAGTGAGAAAGACAGTCAGCAGTCGGCCTAGCCCGGGGTTCTGGATGGCCCAGCTGTTGCTGTTTGTGTGCAGGCAGGGTCTGCAGCCAGCGTCCCGGCTCGTACCTAGCCACTGTCTGTACTTGGAGGGCAGGTAAAGCTGCTGGGTGGGTCCGGAAATGAAGTGGATCCAGTAACCAGCAGGGCTGCAGGCCATGGAGGCCAGGAACAGACACTACAGCCTTTGAAGGAAGAGCCAGGAAATGATGCTGGTTTGGGGGAGCGAGATGCTCAAGCCAGGGTCTGTGGTTTTATAAAGGTCGAGCATCTGAAGAGTGATAGAGGAATGGGTTCTGGGGCGAGAAGCTCTCTAAGGGCAAGACCAGCTAAACTGATCTGGGTAAGGACACAGAGGAATGTGTGAAGGAAGGAAGTACAAAGCTGGTTTACTTAGTAAAGTCACATATTCCCCAAAAGTCACATTTCCCAGTTGATCAGAGTTCTAACACCCCTATACCACTGCAAGTGGTGGCTTACCTACTTCATCACAACGCTGGCACCATGGGATTGCAATTAAATATTTGTAAACACAGCGTAAAAATGAACATCAGCACAGCTCAGACTTTAAGCCCTTGACACTATTTTGTATTGATTCTAGAGAAACAGTTACTTTCAGATGGGGGGAAAGAAAGGCACAAGATGAACACAGGCCATATGTTATACAACAAAAGTCTTCCAGAGATTCACCGATCATATCACAGAAACAGCTTGAAGCAGCTCCTACTGATCAGAGAGGAAATAATTCAGGCATTAAAAAGAGTGACTTTCGGGCTAGTGCTGTTGCACTATGGGTTAAGTCACTGCCTGCAGTGCCAACATCACTGTAGGTGTCAGCTCAAGCTCCAGCTACTCCACTTCAGATCCAGCTCACTGTTAATGTGCCTTAATTATTTAAAAAAAAAAAAAAAAAGATTTATTTAGTGCCTGGTAGGTTGGCCCAACTAGCTAATCCTCCACCTTCAAGTGCCAGCATCCAATCTAGGTGCCAGTTCGTATCCTAGCTGCTACATTTCTTTTCCATCTCCCTGCTTGTGGCCTGGGAGACACAGGACGGTCCCAAGCCTTGGAACCCTGCACCCGCATGGTAGACCTGGAAGAAGCTCCTGGCTCCTGGCTTCAGACCAGCTCAGTTCTGGCCATTCAGCCACTCGAAGAGTGAATCAGCAGATGGAAGATCTTCCTCTCTGTTTCTCCTCCTCTCTGTATATCTGACTTTCTAATGAAAATAAATAAATCTTTAAAAAAAATAAAGAAAAATAAATAAATATTTTAAAAAGAAGAGCTGAAACATTCAATTCAATAAAATTACAAATTTTCTGACCAAAACTAGATATAAAGAAATGAAAAGAAAGCCATGGACCCATCATAATAGCATAGTGGCTAAAGTCCTCGCCTTGCACAAGCCAGGATCCCATAGGTCGCCAGTTCTAATCCCGACAGCCCTGCTCCGCATCCAGCTCCCTGCTTGTGGCCTGGGGAGGCAGTCAAGGACAGCCCAAGCTGTTGGGACCCTGCATCCGCGTGGGAGATCTGGAGGAGCTCCTGGCTCCTGGCTTCAGGTCGGTGCAGCACCGGCTGTTGTGGTTACTTGGGGAGTGAACCATCGGACGGAAGACCTTTCTCTCTGTCTCTCCTCCTCTCTGTATATCTGCCTTTCCAATAAAAAAAAAAAAAAGAAAAAAGAAAGCCATAATGTGGGACAAGATATTTGCAATTCATAAATTAACATATAATCAAGTCTCTAGGATATATAAAGAACTCCTAAAAATCAATCAGAAAGAGACAAACAATCCAAAATTAAAATAGACAAAGAATTTGTACACCTCATGGACAGAAAATAGCCAATGAATATTTTAATGTTGCTCAACTTAAGGAACGATAATAAAAGCACAACAGATATTCTTGAAATTCACCAGATTAGAAAAAAATCCAAAAGTCTGATAATATCAGGTCTTGGAGAGACCCACCACATCACTAGCTCTTGACTCAATAACCACAAGATTTCCAATTACCACGAGTCAAAACAGTGACTCACATGCTGGAAGTGTACACTAAGCATTAAGTAACTCACAGACCAATGCAGCATCCTGAGAAGGCATGCAGATACTCGCCAAACACAAGTTAGCCCCTAATGGACCAGTTCCAATTTGACTCAGCAATAAAGAGGGTCCAATTTAACTCGGCAATACAAAAAAGAAAACTTACAATCCCTGATCTCATATATCCTGACAATTTTCTTAAGTACAAAGCATTCAAGTATTCATTTCCTCCTTCAATACTGATGACATCATAAATGTCTAAAATCTCAATAAACTATCATTCCAGTAATACCAGTATTTCAACTGAGAGCAAGGAGTTTAAAATGGATTATTTGGGACAGATAGGAGTTCCTGGCTCCTGACTTCAACCTGGTGTAGCCCTGACTGTTACAGGCATCTGGAGAGTGAACCAACAGATGGAAGTTCTGTTTCTCCTCTTCTCTGTTCTCTGCCTTTCAAATAACTCTTAAAAAGTAAATAAATTACTCTTTCAACATCTACATTCAGTACTAACGACAATAAATCTCTAACGTTCAGAATATTTTAACAGGATTCTCATTTTAAATGTCATGCCATGAGAATGAAAGTCAAAATACCCAAGTGACATCGCCCATACCTCCCGTGTTAAAACTTTTCTATAAACTAACAACACTAACTAGCTACTGTTCTCTTAAAAAATCACAACAAAAAATAAAATCAGATACACCTCATGATAAAGTAATGCGTCTCAAATACTAAATGAAAGAGAAACTGAAGAAGTGTCTATATCCATAAACTTCATTTTCTTCCTTGGTTTCTGTTTCTAGAACAGCACTTTTTTTTTCCCCCAATGAGACCGCAGCTGGTTAGCAAGTTATTTGCTGTGTAGTGATAAGACGCTCATTAGAGAAATATCATTTGCCCATTTCAACATTTGCAATGATTTTTTATTAATTTAATACATACTAAGTTAAATAACAGAATAACAGTGAACAACTGAATGTATACAATCCGACTTATAACAAGTTAGTAGAAGTAATTAAAACTTGTCATTACACACGCTTTGCTGTAAGATATGATAAACTTTCAGTTTAACTAGGTTGGGACACTAAATGCAAAGAGCCATCACTAAACTCAAAGTGCATATCTTTTCCCAAGACCAAATCTGACAATGCTCCGAAGGGATACATCCATCACACTTAAATTCTCAAACACCGATAATTAAACCAAGGAAAAACACAAAATATTGTGTGTACTTAGAACATAACATGTTTAGTAGTTAACCCAAACTACCAAATCTAGCGTTGCAACATTACAGTGTTTCTAAAAAGAATCAAAATTTTGTTTGGTTAACATAAAATATATTTGTATGTCCAGCCACACGTTCAGGAGACTAGTCAAGAAACAATTACATGTGGCAACCACACAAAGGTCAGAGATGGCTGCTACAGGCCATATACATGATCTATAACTTGGCCTCACAAGACGGTAGGCTGTGTCCTGGGGCCAAGGTGGACTGTACAGGTAAGTCTCCACACAAGGAACAAACAAACAAACAAAAAGCAGAGGACCAGACAATGCAAGGAAGCCCCCGAAGAGAGCTCACCCCGATCTGTTCTGCTTTCTCCCTAACCTCGGGGCCTCAGGAAGCACTACAGAGGACGGCCCCAGCGCACCCTCCACCGCCCCCATCACTCACGCTCTTCACCTGAGTCCTCCACCCCGCTCCGACCAGCTCTAACTCCGACCCGAGAGCCGTCTCTGGTGCCCAGATCCCTGAAGGAAACCAGCACCCCTCCTCCCAACGCATTCCCCCGCACCCCCTGTGCCCTCTGTCCCTTCAACTCGGGTCCCCTCACTCTAACACCCTCCCAGGATCCTCCCCAAGTCACCGACCTCTAGCCCTTGCCCCTTCCACTCCTAGCTCCAATTCTTTCCATTCCTCTCGGGTTCCAGCCCCTTTCTCGGGAGGCTCCGACACCGGTCTGTCGGTACCGGCCCCCTCCCCCAACTCCACCCCTCTTCCCCGTCCCCCAGAGGGAGGCCCCCTCACCTGAACGACGCTGCAGCCACCGCCGTCCCGCAAGCCCAAAGGTGCTGGCACCGGCCGGCCTTCCAGGCTCAGTCCCCCACCCCGAGAGCTCCCGACAGCCCCTAGGGAAAGCGAACTCCACCACCTCCAACTCTGCCTGCCCCGGGCCAGGTCGTCACCGTAGCCAGCACCAGTTTCCCAGCCGCCATGTTGAAGCCCTACTTCCCTCCTCCTTCCCTCTCGGGTCCGCCCCTATGGGCGTCCGACGTCATGGCGCCGCGCTCCACCCGCCCGGGCCAATGGGAGGAGCTGGCGGTGACGTAACTGATCTCTAGTCAGGCGCTGTACACGTCCTGCAACCTGGAGCTTTAAGCTTGGGAAGGATGAACCCGACTGACCCAAGAGGAAGACGGAAAGAAAGGAGTCCCCAAGAGGGTAAGAGACTGGACCGAAGGCAAAGACCGTGAAATCGCGAAAGGAGGCACCCAGACTCAGCAGTAATTCCTACATGGGAATTAGGACGTCTGACACGTTCCTGGTAATACACGTTCCCCCCAAGGGCCTCACTTTCCCCGTTTGTAAGTGTATGGGTTGAAAGGTGACCCCCAGAATTCCCTCCAGTTCTGACACGGAACAGTTTGAAACCGCATAAACCAATCCTACATCTTCACTGCCTTCTTTCTAGATGTCTGTTGGAATTAGGTCCGTGACTAAAATAAATCTTTAGCCCCAGAAGTTCCTAATCGATGACACTAAATAGAAGCAAAAGCAGTTGACTTAGAGGAAAAAAAAAAAAAAGGAAGCATCATGGTATAACACAAGTGCATCTACTGCTTTGGAAAAACCTAAAGCATGCGTCCATCCCATGTTATTTCTTCCGCTGTTTTCTCCCCTGAGCCTAATTAGGCAGGAAAGAATTTTTTGCGCTTTGAAGGGTGTGGCGGTTTTAACTCACAATGAGTGGGCATTCCAGAAAGGGGGATGGAAGAGAAAAGCATGTCACCGGTTCTGAATTGTTTGCCTGCTTAGTTCAGGACATGGAAAGGCATAGCCTTGTAGAGAGCACAGGGAGCTGGACAAAGCTTTTCATGACGAGTATTCAAATGATAGCAGTGAATACAGTGAGGCTGCAAGCTTTCCCCACCGAGTCGGACTCCATGGGCCAAACAGAAGCGGTGGCTGTTCCGTGACTACCAGAAGAACTGCAGTAAGATGTTAGAGACAGACTCAACTAGATTTAAATATCTACTGTTTGCAAGGAGAAACGGGTTCTAAGTTTTTTTAAGTTTTTCAGAAAACAATTTTTATTTCCTTTCTATCATTTACAGAACTGAGAGGGATACACGCCCATGTGGAGTTCTGATTAGGGTGAGGGAAGGTGAGTGGGACAAGTGTTTTGTTTTTTCTTTTTTTTTTTTTTGAAGGTTTCAAATGTATTTTACTTCTTCAATAATACAGTATTTTAACTGTTACAGTGATTTTTCTTGGCATCATTTATGAGTTGGTTTGGATCAATTCAGCATTACACGAGCTGGGATGATTACTGATCTCTCCACTCCTTTGGGGTGACTCTGCCAACAGGAGACAGATTCCATTCTATTCCAGTCCGTGTTGCTGTATATGTCCATTCAGCAATACAGAATGTGGCTCCACCGGCCAATACAATATTACCATATTTGTCATGAAAATCAGATGTACCTTTCTGGTGGCTCTGCCTTGCCATTGCTTGCTGAATGCTTCGAACTTGCTGATGACTCAGCGCATTTCTGGCCAAAGGAAACATCGTGAAACAGAAATACAACTGGAACAATCACAGCTACTGTTTCATTGCAAGTTCACTCCTGTTCCCCATACCCTCACAGAGAGCCTGAAAAACAAAATTCCTCCTGTGTTTTCAAGGAAAGAGGGAGGGGGTCTGCTCTTTGATGTCAAACTACATTAAGCTTCAGGGATGGAGGACAGTCATTTGGTGATGCATTAAGGACCCTGCCATGGCGAACAGTGTTCCGAGACTGTTAATTAAGGGGGTTTGATAGTTCTGAGAAGTTGTTGGCTTTGTTGCTCAAGGATTGAGAAGATCTTTCTAAGATCCATTGATTGACAAAGTCCACCTTAGTGTATCTACAGACTCAGGAACATGCTGCTAGCTTGGCCGGGAAAGTTGTCTGACCAGTTTTGCTTTCCATCCTCTGATGAGGCAATTGACATCCCCTACTGGCCTACATGAGCTGGCTGTCATGTCCTCCGTGTGCATCTGGACCTGCTGTCCACAGCACTGGCATCAACAACTGAGAAGGTCTAGTCCCAACACATGCATTCCAATGTCAGAACACATATCCTGTGATTTTTCCCTGTGGCACAAGTCTATATAACATTCTAAAAAACAACGAGGAATAGCATTGTATTCTTAGAATTATGTCTGTGAACTGCATTGAATTTGTTGCTGCTTCTTTTACTATCACATTAAGATTTAAAAAAAAAAATCAGATGAGTAAAAATCTGTCGGGGACAATGCCGTAGTTTAGCAAGGTCGTGCTCAGCCTTGCAGCACTGGCATCCAGTATGGGTGACAGTTCATTTTCTGGCTGCTCCACTTCAGATACACTCCATGCTTATGGCCTGAAAAAGCAGAGAGGCTGGCACAAGTCCTGCAGACCCTGTACCCACATGGGAGACCCAGAGGAAGCCTCTGATTCCTGCCTTCAGATCAGCACAGTTCCAGCTGTTGTGAACTTTCAGGGACTGAACCAAAGGAATGGAGGACTTTTCCTTTCTGTAAATCTGCCTCTTACCAATCTACCTTTCCAATAAAAATAAAATAAATCTTTTATTTTTTTAAAAAAAGGAAACTTGGCAGAGATTTCAAAGAACTACCTATTATTTTCTTATAAATCTAAAACTGTTCCAAAGGAAATTTTAATTTCCTTCAAAGTAAACTTTGTTTTTTAAAAACTTTAAGAGGGAGGGCCTAGCGGCATAGCCTGGTGGCTAAGGTCCTCACCTTGAACACGCCAGGATTCCATATGGGCGCCAGTTCTGATCCCAGCGGCCCCTCTTCACATACAGCTCCATGCTTATGGCCTGGGAAAGCAGTAGAGGAAGGCCCAAAGCCTTGGGACCCTGCACCCACATGGGAGACCTGGAAGGAGCTCCTGGCACCTAGCTTCAGATCAGCACAGTTTTGGCTATTGCGTCCATTTCGGGAGTGAATCGACAAACAAAAGATATTCCTCTTTGTCTCTCCTCCTCTCTGTATATCTGACTTTACAATAAAAATAAAATCTAAGAAAAAACTTTAAATGTTATTTAGACAAATATGAACTGATCAAGAGGAGAAATTTTTATCTAATGTGTGGCCTCTAAATCATGCCATATGACTAAGTGCAGTCTGAAGTGACTAGGTCAGGGGACACAGAAAAAATATGAGCATTACCCAGATTTTAAAAGGGTCAGATGACTCAATAGAATGAATGTCTCCAAGTGGGGGAGGAGGAACTGGAAATAACTTGCTTAATGCTCACAGGCTTCCTTCTGGAAAAAGTTCTGGAACTTCATAATGCAAATGATTGTCCTCATACAACATTGGAGTGCAATTAACACCCCTTGAATCATAAACTTTAAAATGTAAAAAGTTATGAGATATCCATGTGTGTAAATATGGCCACAACAAAATATATTTAGTTCAATGGCTGTTTTTAAATAAAGATTTATTTTTATTGGAAAGTCAGATATACAGAGAAGAGGAGAGAGAAAGATCTTCCGGCCGATGTTCACTTCTCAAGTGACCACCACGGCCGATGCTATGTCGATCTGAAGCCAGGATCCAGGAACCTCTTCCAGGTCTCCCATGCAGGTGCAGAGTCCCAAGGATTTGGGCTATCCTCAGCTGCTTTCCCAGGCCACAAGCAGGGAGCTGGATGGGAAGTGGAGCTGCTGGGATTAGAACAGGCGCCAGTATGGGATCCCAGCGCGTTCAAGGCAAGGACTTTAGCTGCTAGGCCATGCCACCGGGCCCAGTTCAATGGTTTTAAAAACTAAAAGAGATATGTTGAAGAACAAGTCAAATTTTGGGAGTCCTTGTCAGAAATAAGACAGACCTGAGCTTTCGTAAAATTCTGAGGGACAGAGCTGGCACAATGGCTCAACTAGCTAATCCCCCACCTGTAAGCACAGGGATCTTATATGGGTAACAGTTCATGTCCTGGCTGCTGCACTTTCCATCCAGCTCCCTGCTGTGGCATGGGAAAGCAGGAGTGGATGGCCTACAGTCTTGGGGGCCTGCACTTGCATGGGAGACCTGGAAGAGGCCCAAAGATTCTGGCTCTGGATCCACTCAGTCCATGCTGTGGAGGCCACTAGGCCACTAGCAGATAGAAGATCTTTTCCCCTCTCTTTCTTCTTCTTTCTGTATTTATGCCTTTCTAATAAAAAGCAAAATAAATCTTTAAAAAAAAAAAAAAGTAGGCTGGGGTTCGTCACGATATGCTAGTGGCTAAAGTTTCTCATCTTGAATGTGCCAGGATCCCATATGGGCACCGGTTGTAACCCTGGCGATCCTGCTTCCCATCCAGCTCCCTGCTTGTGGCCTAGGAAAGCAGCAAAGGATGACCCAAAGCGTTGGGACCCTACACCTGTGTAGGAAACCCTGAAGAGACTCCAGGTTCCTGGCTTTGGATTGGCTCAGCTCCAGCCGTTGTGGCCACTTGGAGAATAAACAATCAGATGGAAGATCTTCCTCTCTGTCGCTCTTCATCTCTGTGTATCTGCCTTTTCAATAAGAAAAAGTAAGTAAAATCTTAAAAAAAAAAAAAATAAAATAAAAATAAAGGGTTGGCTGCACGGGTGCCTATAACCGGGCTGCGTGGCTGTGTTGGGGGAGGTACGCTTGTGGAGGGCCTTCAGGACCCTCTGCTTGGAAGCTTTTTATTTTTTAAATGTTTATTTATTTTTATTGGAAAGTTAGATTTACAAAGGAAGGGAAAGACAAAGAGGAAGATCTTCCATTCAGTGATTTACTACCCAAGCAGTCACAACAGCCAGAGCTGTGCCTATCCAAAGCCAGGAACCAGGAACTTCTTTCAGGTCTCCCACACGGGTGCAGGGTCCCAAGGCTTTGCGTTGTCTTTGACTGCTTTCCCAGGCCATAGCAGGGAGCTCAATGGGAATCAGGGCTGCCAGGATACAAACCAGAACCCAT